GCCCCTCCCTCTCTATGAAGACTGACAGTGCTGACCCCGCCCCTCCCTCTCTATGAAGACTGACAGTGCTGACCCCACCCCCTCCCTCCCTATGAAGACTGACAGTGCTGACCCCGCCCCCTCCTTTCTCAGGTGTACCACCTGGCCAGCGTGCGCCTCCGGGACATGTGCATCAAGCTGGACATCTCGTCCGAGCTGCGCCGGAAGATCTGGACCTGCTTCGAATACTCGCTGGTGCATTGTACGGAGCTCATGCTGGACCGCCACCTGGACCAGCTTCTCATGTGTGCCGTCTACATCACGGCCAAGGTCAGGGCTGCAGTCCCGATGGATGTCCTGTGTACCCAGTGTCCCCATTTTACTCCATCCTCTACACCGAGCATCTACGGCCCACTACTCTATACTGTACACCAAACTCTCCATCTGGCTTACCCAGTGGACCCTCCTACACACCCAGCAGTGCTATACTCCCAGTCTGTCTGCCTCACGCCTAAAACACGCTGTGTGTCACATTTGTGTAAATTGTCTAGTGGTCCAACATTCTTGTCCTGAAGGACAAGTACATGCCCAGTTCAACTAAAACATTCACATGGTTGATGTTGTGTCTCTGACACAGGTCTATCTGGCCCATGCTTGGGAGAACACAAACATCCCCTTACATGTACATGTAGGCCTAACAGTCGATCCAAGAATTTTTCTATTTAAACTAATTTGATTTGATTCAAGTTTAATGTCATTGCACATGACACAAGTTCAAGTAGAATGAAATGCAGTTTTGTGTCTAACCAGAAGTGTAAATAGTAATATTAGGTGCTTATGAGGTAATATTTACATGAGGGGATATAAACAAATGATATAAGGTTATATAATTGTAAAATACATACATACTGGAAGTAAATGGCCGGCAAGGTGACATTTACAAATAATTATTAAGTAGAAAAGAGTGTCACTGAGGAAATATGTGCATGTAGGAGCATATAGGATGATATCCTGTTTTTCGCAACGTGATGCATATACAGATAATAAAATGATATATAGTAGTATATAATATATCTTCTCATAATAAGCTTATCTCAGTTACTTAGTACTTATTATCAGTTTTAGGAATGTGTATCATTGGAACATTAATGCACTTGATAGTTATTTGCTTTGCACATGCATGTACAGTGATCCCCCATCTATCGCGGAAGTTACGTTCCAGACCCATCAGCGATAGGTGAAAATCCACGATACAGAAAGACTTATAAATAAATATAGTGGGGGCGCGATAGCTGAACCGCGATACAGCGGGGGCGCGATAGCTGAACCGCGATATAGCGGGGGCGCGATAGCTGAA